CAATATTGGTAGGGTTGGGGATCGGCGGGGGACTGGTGTCTCGAGCACCTCCGAGTGCGGCGCTGCCAGATAAGTTGTCGTCTCCGCCGAAGGGGTCGGTATCGGTTCGGGGCCGGGATCGCCAAGATCGGGTTGCTTCTGGGGTCGAGGCTTCATTAGGCTTGATTGCGGGACTGTCGGTGCCTTCCTTGTTCATAAGGTTTGCAAAGCGACTTCCACCACGGTTGCCACCGCCAATAGTCGAAGTTGGAGTTGGCAAAGCGAATTGGCCGAAACTACCCATGCCGCCGCCGCCGCCACCAGCAGCACCCCCGGCCGAAGGAGGCTGAGAAGCTCCCCAGAGAGAACTGATATTGGCACCCATGGAAGGATTACCCGCCGTGTTGCTACGCGTCAGGTTTCCAAAAGGCGGCTTAGACTGAGGCTGTCCAGCACCTTCATCCTCGCCTGGCTCCTGCTCCTTGACGTCGTTGTTCTTGCGACCAAAAAGGAAAGACTGTTGGTCATCGCGAGCGAATCGTGTGGCACTTGGTGAAGCGAGGGGACCGCTGCCAAAAGGGTTGGAATCCGTCGTCTCTCGGCGCCGGGTACCAGGTCTAGAGGCAGACGAGGGCGATTGTAATCCGTATCCGGCGGCGCTACCGTGTGATAGCGACGCCTTCCGTCCATTCGGTCCCGGTCCCTGGGTGCCCTCCTGTTTCTGGATGGGAGGCTTCAGAGTAGAGTTGACATCAGATGCGAATGCCTGTCTCATATTAGCATTATTTACCCGGTGGCCTGCTCCAAATGACCGACGCACCTCCTTCTCCTCTTCAGACATGCCATTGATAGCAACGGGGTTGTTGTCACCCCGGTTGTTCCAACAGGCAGCAGGATCTTGCGAATTGTGGTTATTGTTGGTTTTTCCCCAACCTCGCGCAGCGCTTCCATTTGTGTGTCCCGGAGTCCATCCCGATTCAAAAACATTGGAAGCGTCTATTTCCGCCGCACCGTTCTTGTACACACCGACAATTGAGTCCTTCTGATACTGTGAAGGGGCAGGATAGTCGTATGTCGCAGCGCCAGGGGTCTGAGGAACTGCGCCGGAGTCGAGCGGTGTAGAGGGGAAGGCGTTTTCGGACGAGGCTGCGGGTTGGGATGGCTGACCGGGCGTCGTCGAGGATCGTCGAAAGGTCAGGGTGCCGTTAACTCTGCCGTCACGTCGAGCCCTGCTTGCGGCGTTAGTACAGGCTCTCAGTCACATCCTAGCCGCGCTGTGCATCCTGATGTCTGGCGATATTGCGACAACGTGGCGAGAACCCAACGAGGTGGCGGTCTATAGAGTCACCATCACCAATATCACGCGAACGCCAACTTTTCTTCATCATCTCCAGACGCAAACAGGAAGCACAGAGAATAGCAGGGTAGCGATGGGGGTTTGTTGGGCGAAATGGGGAAAGTCACTAACCATTCCCCGCTGCCAGCTCCACGTCCGTCCTGTCGACCGCCTCTCGCGTCGCGGTTGGCGTTTTGGCCGGCGGCGGCCGAGGCGAAGCTTGATGGTAGATTCGAAGGCATGGTTAATTATGCGCAAAGTAGGTATCTGGCGATGAGCAAGTGTCTGGGGGTGTGCAAACAGCGCGCAGGGGTGGTGGTATTTTTTTGGTGGTTCGGTAGTTGCTGATCGATCTCTCGTGGACAGGTCACGAAAGGGATTCTGTAATTGAGTTGTGGGTTTGTCGGCGCGCGACTGGCTGTAGATGATGATACACGTGAAGTGATGCGGGATGCAGGTAGCTGATGTCAGGCTTGCTAAACGATGGATTGATCGAGATACCGAGAGGTCGGTTCGCGAGCGTATGCGGTTCGTCGTGCGAGGGTGGGTGAGGAGGGTGAGCTGTCTCGTCGAAAAAATCAAAGGTTTGAAAGGAAAATTGCCAGCTAGGAATGACCCACGATGGTGTGGACCAGGGAGGAACTGTGGAGACGGTACAGCCGCTAAGCCCCCAAAAGGTGTTGCCCGTGGTTTATCCGGTCCCGGCCACACGTTTTTCTGGATGGAAGTACCGGGGAAAGGAAGGTAAGAGCGGATGACGTTGGAGACTTGGCCTTGTGTTCGAGGAAGGTACAGATCAATATTCAGGTACATAATGCTACGCAGCTACTGCCTGTTTTCGTGCTTTAATGCAGTGCTCCTGCTGACTTGTTGCCTTTGTCGTTTCCCCTCGCTGCCTTCCACTTTTAATTTGTGATACCCTACTCCGTACCTTACTCCAGCAACTCAAGGCACCTACCTGCCTACCCCAGTGAGGCACGCACCTTCCCCAATTGTCAGGCAGGAGCTGTGCTGCAAGACGACAATGACGATAGTTGCATCACGTGCGTCACACGTGACCCCACCCTGGGGCGTCCACACTGACGTTGGACGCAGGGCAAGAGCTCGGACAATTAAGGCAGGGCAGCCAGTCACCCCCGTTCAGGGCAGTCCAACCTCAAGCCATCGGGCTTTGCTGCAGGGCTTGGGTTGGGATTCGCACTTGGATCGGATGCTAAAATCTGGCTAAACTTTCCAGGGGTCATCCCCTAGAGGCTCACTGACCTTTTACACTAAACTCGCCTATGTGCCTAAGGTAGCCTCTCATCCTTCCTTTCCCTCTTCAGAGCTGTCGGGTGACGATCAATTAGATGAGTCGGGTTTCTTGACCAAAGTTGACGTGAAGAGGCAGCATTCTCAATTCCAGGTAGTCGTACCCGCAGAAGAAACCACAACGCAATAAGCGAGGGAGAACACAATCACCAAAAGGAAGGGAAAAAAAAAGGAATGCCACTCATAGCCCAGCCCTTCCGGGTATCCGCATCTCATCCAACACCTTCTAGGCTCTGACCCGTTCGCTCATGCTCATGCACTCACTCACTCACTCACTCAGTCTCCACGTCGCCCGCCTCCTCATCTCATCTCATGTCTCGCGCCCCAGCCAGTCTCACCTCACCACGACTCGCATCCCTAACCCCCTCCATTAGCCTCATTGGCCAAGAGGGTTGGAACAAGTTCAAGGGAGAGTTTAAACATTCTGGTCTGTTTCATGCGGTCAAACGGCATCTTAATGGCATCCGTTTTTGCTCAGGCTCAAAGGAGGAGACGATCACACGCCAGAAGAAAACGAGACGACGTTAATGTTTGGTTGCCCCTCGTTCCTGCGATATTCTCACCTTCCTGGTGCGACGCGCGAACGTCATGCTCGTACGTTGAGACGACCTCATGGTGTTCTCATCGACCTCAACATTACTCAGTCGCCGCAAATAGATTCTCTGAACAGACCTCTTACCCGCGGCCATTTATTTATTGATATGCTGTGAGAAGGTTCCATCTCCCACGTGCCGCCGCTCCCACGCATGCCTTGTCATCTAAACTCCATTCTCATAAGATCTGAGTAGTGATCATAATGATTCCCATCACGTTGTATCGGCCGAGCCGGCTCCGACGCGCTAGTGTTAGATTGCCTGCCTAGCCATCTCAAACCTGCAAGCTCAGACAGCTCCTTTTTAGACTTTAGGTCCAGTCTTATCACGGACTCTTTCCCCAGCGTTTCGTCTGCACGGTATCAGCTTGTCGAACGACATCTCATCATTCTTAACAACAGCGGAAGACAAGATTGAAGTCATTGACTCGGTACAGATGAAGATGTCGCAGTCCGGACTACTACCCCAAGACTTTGCCGACCATGGCGCTCCCAAACGAATGTTTATCGCCTTTTTCAAAAGTCGACAAGTAAGGTTCTTCGCCCTCTTTGGCGTCGGCCTCTATCTCATCAGGGCATTCTTATTGGACTCATCCAAGCCGGGTAAAGACGACTACGCAGCCACGAATCCCTGGCGGGACCTCCCGACTGACTCGGCCGTTCACTCGACCATCCGGGAGGTGCTTCTCATCAGCGACACCCTCCGGGACGGCATGCTCCCGACCTCGCTCCCGGATGATAACTACGACACGTACTCTGCCATGCTACGCAACCTGGAGACGCGGCAAGATGTCACTTGGCTCGTCATCCAAGAGACCGGCGTCGACAGGACCATCATGGCCATTGCCAACCGTGGCGGACATCACAGTCCCATTCCAGAAGAGCCCCACGACTTACATGAGCGTGCCAAGACGCTTCACGACCACTGGTCGAAGCTCACTGCCGCCAGCGACAAACCGGAGCGATGGGAAGCTCGTTTCGATACGACTTGTCTCCCGCCGCTGGCTGCCAGACAAGGCAGCGCATCAGGACAAAAAGCCGGTTCATTCAAGCTGGACTTGACTCCCGCACAGAAAGCAGATGCGGAAGCCAGGTACAAGGCCTATCGCAAGCGCAGGGATCGCGCCGTGTCGTACCTCAAGGACCACCCGCCCAAACCAATGGCCTGGGTGCCGGCGCAAACGGACCCGGAGATGCAGCGCGGTTTCTGGGAATCGCTGTTCAATGACGGTGTCATCAAGGCCGGACGTAATGTCGAGGGAGGAAAGCTGGCGGGCAACCCGGGGTTCAAGCCCGTCTACCGTGATCTCATTACTGAGCGTGTCCCTTATGACTGGGTCAACCCGGATGAGCAAGTGAAGGAGTACACTGAGGCGGATCACTTGAAGGAGATGGAGGCCTTCAGGGAAGAGTCCCGCATCAGAAAGGAGAGGACGGACAAGCAGGCGGCTTACCAGGAAGAGCTCAGAGCCGAGGAGAGACGGAAGCGGGGTGAAAAGGAAGAGCTTTGATGCCTCGGTTCTACCGTTAGCCCGGTACTCATCTTACTACAGCGTTGCGAAAATCATCGAATGGCAATTGCTTTCTATCAGGTAGTCGCTAGTAGTTAATACAGTAGATAATTCAAGGCGACATCTCCATCCTCTCCCAACGGCACCAGCTTCGTCGGGTTACACAAAGCCGGACCTCCCACTACGCCACGGTCTCACTCATCAGCCAGCCCTAAGTTTCTTCAAGCCAAAACAAATCACCACCGGGCCACGACGTTGCTCGTCCACAATCTTAGTAGCCCGAAAGAACGGCACCGATGGAAGCCAGCGCCGGAACAGCCTGGATGAAGAAGATGCGCGGGTTCGCCGTGGCGCCGCCGTACGCCCCGGCCGCGACGATGCAGCCGAGGAAGAAGAGCTGGAGCTGGCGCCCGAACTCGGGGACGGGGTGAGCGATGCCCCAGGCGAGACCGGCGGACAGGAAGCCGTTGTAGAGCCCTTGGTTGGCGGCCAGAGCCTTTGTCTTCTCGGCAAAATCGGCGGTGAGATTGAAGGCCTTGCGGCCGCGGGGCGAGGTCCAGAGGAACATCTCCAGGACGAGGATGTAGCCGTGGAGGCCGGCCATGAGGCCTGCTGCCGTTGCGCCGATGAAGCCCATTGTTGGAATGATGTGGTCTTTGAGGGAGGTAGATAAGGGTGAGGTGAGGCTGGTTACTGGCCAGGTGTTGTTGAAAGCTTGTAGTGTGGATAGCGAGGGGAGGCTGAGACGGGGGAAGGGCAAGAACGAGCGGAGGTGGGGAAAGTGGCGTTATCGTCGGTGAGGACTGAGGGTTGATGATCGTCACTTGTCTCAGACAAATCTGGCAACAATTGAGTTTTTATCCAAAAATCCTCACATGGGCTGGGCCAAGACAAAATGCTGGAGAAATCAACCTGCGGAACGGAAAAACAAGGAGATCGTGAGGAATTTGGATTGCGCCTCGGCAACACCGAATACGAATTGGGGAGGTCGCGAGTCAGACGCCTTACCGTACACCGGTTACACCGAGGCTCACCGAATTCTATGTGGGATGCCGATGACCTTGCATTCGTGGTAGCACATCTGCTGTCTGCCTACTTAACTTCACAGGCTTTCTCGGCATGTGTATCACCCTGAGATGGGTGAAATCTCATGTCATCAATACAATTGTGACAGTGTGTTACCTGATTGGATCCTTCTTGTCCCCCCCTAGGCACAGTCCTTAGCAATGGTTTGTGGCTGATCTTCCTTTCCTGCCTTGTATTTCGAGCAGAGCCTCAAACCTTAAGCACTTTCCTGCTACCTCTATCCGGGAGCTCTTTCCGTTTTAATTGCCAATTTAGATAAGCAAAATTCGCAGCGGAAGGTACACGTCTGCTGCAACTGCATTCCGAGTTCGACAACAGCAGGAAGCCACGACCCGCTCTGGGCCATTGGCCAATCAAATATGATTCAGGGGGAGGGGGCACGTGATCTGCCACTGCCGAAGCAATCATGGGAAGGGGCCCCTTCCTGCGCGGGACGACAGGGGTACGTACAGGGATGGCGACTTCCATCCTTCCAGAGGTGTTCCTGCCCCGCCCGGGCCTAAGACGCGAAGACTAATTGCTTCTCGTCCCGTCGCGTCTCAATAATTACGACTGTCTAAACCGCCACGATCCGCTTAGAGCTGCTTGACGAAATCTAGGCTCGCTCGTGCACAGAACTTCATGAATCAGATTCTCGGTCAACATCACCTGCACTTCGGCCTTAGCTTCTGTAGTGTCGACCTACGGTAGCTTGCCTCACATGTCGACCACATTGGCTTAGTCACCGTTCACGTCACTCACTACCAATCTTACGATGCCCCGAATCAAGATGGAGGGCGTCAAGGCTGAGCCGCCGAATGCCAACTTGCACGAACTGCCCAGAGTTCCCGATACGGTCCTGCAGCAGTCGGCAGGAAGTTCAAACCCTTCAGCATCTACCACTGTCCCATCTTTGGCAACTGCCCAACCCAATGCTTCTCTTCCTCATATCAAGCCTGAACCGGGCTCTGCGGCATTCGTCAAGGAAGAGCAAGCCGACCCCATTCTCAACCCCGCCAACCCACACAACGAAAGTCTAGCTTCTGTCGAAGAACCTGGGTCACCTACCGTTCAAGATGAAGTCCCCGGTTTCCTAGAGCAATGGACAACAGAAACCTCCCCTGAGATCCTTGAACGAGGCGTAAAGATCGGCTTAGAGGTCCTCGAAAGCCTCAAGGTTCCCCTCAGCCTCACCGCTTCCCTCCCAGGCACGCAGGCTATGACATGGGTCAGGGCAATCGAGGACCTCAAGGCCCGCTCTCGGCCGTCCAAAACCATTGTTGGTGTCGTGGGCAACACAGGTGCCGGCAAGAGCTCTGTCATCAACGCCCTGCTCGACGAGGAGCGACTTTTACCGACCAATTGCTTGCGCGCCTGTACCGCTTCGCCTACTGAGATCTCCTATAACGACTCCGAAAACCCCGAGGAGCTCTATCTCTCAGAAATAGAGTTTATTTCCGTCGAGGACTGGAAGAAGGAGCTCAAGACTCTATTTACTGATCTTCTCGACGATAGCGGGAACATTTCACGCGAATGCGCGAACGAAGATAGCGAGGCAGGCATCGCCTACGCCAAGATAAAGTCTGTCTACCCTAACAAAACAAAAGAGATGATTGCTCAGAGCGACCCTGATCGTTTGGTCAATGAGCCTGCTGTCGCCCGTGTTCTTGGCAGCGTCAAAAAGCTGCGAGCAACCACCGCGAAGGACTTGTACGCAAGCATGCAGCGTTATGTGGATAGCAAGGAGAAGAATCCGCACAAGAAGGACGTTCCCATGGAGTTTTGGCCCCTGATCAAAGTTGTCCGGATATTCACAAAGGCAAACGCCCTGTCTACTGGTGCCGTCATTGTCGATCTTCCTGGTGTCCAGGACTCCAACGCAGCTCGTGCTGCTGTCGCACAGAACTACATGAAGGCATGCACCGGTCTTTGGATTGTTGCTCCTATCAACAGAGCCGTCGACGACAAGACAGCCAAATCACTACTGGGTGATTCGTTCAAGCGCCAACTCAAGTACGATGGTATCTACTCGGCTGTCACGTTCATCTGCTCGAAGACAGATGATATCTCAGTGACTGAGGCTGCTGAAAGTCTTGATATTGAATCTGATATCTCTGCTTCTTGGTCCAAAATCGAGAAGCTACGTGGCGAACTTCGAGGGCTCAAGCGAAAGCTCAATGACGCCAGGGAAGAGAAGTCGGACCTCGTCGACAGCCTGGAGCAAATTGACACGCTTTGGGATAAGTGGGACGACCTCGCCAGTAAACATGCGGATGGGAAGACTGTCTTCGCCCCCTCAGAGAGCAAGAAACGCAAACGTGGAGCTACCACATCCAAGAGTCGGAAACGCAAGTCATCTTACTCCAGTAGCAGTGAGTCAGATGATTCGGATTGCAACTCGGATAGTGATAAGGAAAACAATCCCGACGGCCAGAACCGGCAGCCTTTGACAGAGGATAAGATCCATGAGAAGCTGGCGGATCTGAAGAACCAGAAGAAGGAAATCCGTCAACGGCGCAAGGAGGTCGATGCCCTGCTCTCCAACATGCGGCAGGAAATCAAGAGCAGTCAGGCAGAGGAAGAGCGGCTGCTTGGGGCAGCCAAGGCGGTGTGTATCCAGGGCAGAAACATTTACTCCAAGGGCGCTATTCAGCGTGACTTTGCCATGGGTATCAAGGAGTATGTCAATTGGGGCTCTCGCCGAAATGAACACAAGCTAACTTGCGTAGGCTGGACCAAGAGGCTGCAATCGAGGAAGACGAAGAGACATTCAATCCTGACGAGGATATCCGTGATTATGACGAGGTCGCCCGCAACCTGCCCGTCTTCTGTGTGAGCAGCCGCGCTTACCAGAAGATGCGGGGGCGTTTGCAGAAGGATGATTTCAACAATGATGGCTTCCGGGATGTCAACGAAACAGAGGTTCCTCAACTTCAGCAGCACGCTAAGAAGCTCACCGAAGGCGGCCGCGCTGCTGGTGGCCGTCGCTTCCTCACCGAACTCAGCCAACTCCTCAACTCAATGAAGATGTGGGCTGCCAACGATGGATCGCGGTCTCACTTGAGCCAACGAGAGTTGCAGAGTGAGGGGATCCGTGTGCGAATGCAGCTTACTACACTGGACAATGTGAGTTGCGGCCCATATTCACGTTATCCTCATTAACTAACACCTGACAGGACTTCGCCAAAGCAGTTGATGACTGCATCGTTTCCGTGAAAGACGCCCTGTCGGAGAGCATCTACGACTACTTTGACCTATCGATTCCTATGGCAGCCAGCGCGGCTGGCCCTACGGCATCCGGCTGGGGTGCCCATCGCAGCGAAGGTGGAATGTTTTGGGCCACATACAAGGCAACATGCCGCCGGTCGGGAGTCTATTCAGGCGCATCTGGTCCTCGCGACTTCAACGCAGAGCTGCTCGAGCCGATCTCTCGACAGCTAGCGAGTGGTTGGGAACGGACTTTCCAACGTCGACTGCCATCGGCCTTTGAGGGCTTCGCTATGAGCGCCCGTCTTCTACTTGAGGACTTCCATGGCAGCGTCATTTCACGATCCCAAGAACTGGGTGCCGATTACAACGGCATCAATATGCTGAGTACGCAGCTGCGAGCTCACACCGCCCGTCTCAGAGAGATCCCTGGGACACTTCGCACAGTCGTCCAAGAGTTGCAGCGTGAGGCCAGCCGCGGCTTCCATCCTGTTGTCCAGCGGGAGATGCAGCCGGCTTACGACGTTTGTGTCGCCGAGTCAGGTAAGCCAGGCTACCACTGCTCGTTTCCAGGTATCCGTCAACTAACTACCAATAGGCCCTGGTTCTTACGCTCGCATGAAGAATCATATGGTCAGCCACGTCGAGACCTCCAGCGCTACCATGTTCCGCTACTCCACTGATAGCGTCAAGGAGCAGCTTGAGGCATTATGCCGACGACTTCAGGACGAATTGACTACGCAAGTTCAAGACATCTATAGCCTGCTCGCCCGCGACTATCTGCATGTCCTCATTGGTGTCGACAAGGATCCCAAGCCTACCGGCCTCTCCCGTGCTGAGCGATTGCTTCGCGCAGAGATGTACCGTAAGCTGGAGCAGACAGCCAAACGCTTCGCCAGACCTAGCCAGGACGCAGGCGCAGATTCCGCGAATACTCTCGGCGTGGGCGAAAGTGACGACCCGTTTGCAGACTCGGCTATAGCTGATATGGACGATCTTTTGTTAGCCCAGCTTTGCGATGGTACCGTTGAGGGTGTTGGTGCCCAAGAAGCAATCAAGAGCGAGCCTTCTGTATGATTCATTCCTGCCCCAATTTGCGCCATCTTTTGGAGGGAAAAGCAATGGCGTACTCGGGGTTCCTGTACATTATAGAGCTTTCCGGTGTGGATGTCTCGTATTGCTCATGCTTTACCAGCTTTGCAAAGCGGCTTCTATAGCGTGGGATGAATACGGGGATAGGAGTTATATGGTCCGGTTACACAGATATCCAACAATGATTACTTGCTTTGATGATACCCTCAACCCGATTTCCCAATGTGAGAACTGCTGAGAGTTACTTGACTTTCGCTCCTCAAGGGAGTCGGCATTGGTGTTGGCGCTGGTATCGGCGACTGGTGATGAGAGGGCAAGGGCGGCCAGGGGTATGAGGATGAGGGTTGTGAAGCGCATTTTGGGTGGCATTATGGTTGTTGGATTTGGAAGACTTGGAAGGAAATGAGAATTTTACAAGGAAATCGGGATCATGAAAGCCAATTTCATGCAATCACTACTTCTTTTACTCTTTACGTCTACCTATCAAGTGACATGCAGCATGGACATTCGCTCTACTGTCACCCCCCTTACCAGGGCGCGTAAAGCCCTCTTCATAGCCTGACTATTTGGTTCCGTCCTCCTCGTTTGAACAAATCATACTCTCAAAGTCGTATCTCAAGTCCGACAGCCCAGGCCCCTCAGAGTCCAGCTCGTTTCCATCCTCATCAAGATAGATGTAATCATCTACTGAAATGTTGACGGGCTCTTCCAGCTCTTCCATCTCACTGCCACCCTCAGATGACTCCTCCAAGTCTGACGGCTCTTCTGACTTGGACCAGTATTCGCCCCCACACATGCGGGCATGATCTGCACAAAGCTGATAGTCAGTTCGGAATGTTGAGTTACTACCAAAGATGAACCCGTGAGATGCTTCCTGGGGAGCAGAGCGGTCGTCGGCTTGGGAGGGGATACCAGGGAAATTGATGGAGTTGCAAGGACACGAGGGATCATTGCAGAACTCTTCTTGTTCTGGGTGGTCCTCAGTGTCGAGATTGTCTGAAGGTACGGCCACTTCGGTGCTCGGCACTGGCTGCGCTTCTACGGGGATAGGCCTGACACTAGCCCCGCGAGAAAACCGGCGAATTGTGGCCAGGAGCGCCAATCTTTTGATATCGGCACCTGAGAGACTGGCCAAGTGTCGCTTGTCTTCTTCACTGAACTGTTCAAATAGGTGAGCAGCGTTGCTTGCGTCCATTTTGGTTTGCTTTGGTACCTTGTAAGGGAGGGCGAGGCGTTGGAAATTCTTGTTCGGTCTAGTCTTTCGAAGAGTTTTCTTCTCGTGTAAGTTTTTGAACTTGTTTGGTTAGGAGTTGATGCGTTGTAGATGAGTCTGATGACCTCTCTAAACTCATAATATGACCGCATGGTGAGTGCACTTATATAAGATACTTCTCGTGGTGCCACGATGGTTCAGTGCGGTCTTATTGTTATCAAAGGGCTTTGAGAGAAAGACTTCGGGACAAAAAGATCTTCAGGACAACGGCATTATCTCAAGGAAGTCAAAGAGTGGCTGAGGACATTGACAATGAATGACTTTGTTTCCAAACTCATTGGAAGCCCTCATTTTTACGACTAGACTCTTGAATCCATGTTTTGCTCCAATCTTCGCCATTGTTTCATTCTCTTCCAATCTGTTTGTGTCTGGTTAAATAAGCTTCCGTTCCCCGGCCTAGACATGGATTGCTATTAATGAGTACCGGACTTGGTGTGGATGTCGTTGAAGCCTTACCTCTTCGATGAAGTCAATGTGGTGAACCACCTTCCTAAAGAGGCAATGGGAAGTCCGCACCAACTATTGGTCCCGAGACATATCTTACGGCGCAGCTAGACACCCGGTGAGGGGACTTTCTTCTGGGGTTACATACAGGGGCTTACGGCATTTGTTTGGCTCTCATACTTAAGTCGCAACCGAGCTTCGTGGCCTTCAATCACACCTTCATTCTTACTGAATACGACGCACCGACTGAGATGAAGCATTTTCGATTTCCAATCGTGGCCCTGTGGGCAACCCAAGCCTTCGGACAAGACATAGCACAGCGCCCCCTCCATGAAGAAAACCAAGCTGTGAGAGATGTGCCTCACGTAGTCTCAAAGGACCTTGATGAATTTATTGAGCGAATTCGGGAGGAGTGGCATGCTCCAGGTCTAGCCGTTGCAATTGTCGACGGGAACAACACTTGGGCAAAGGTAAAGATCGCCCCGCCCCCCCGTTTCGACTTCGCGTGGTCTCGAGTGCAAGAGTTGGCAACACTTCACAATTGGCAATGGGGGACTGATGTTCTCAGGGTTATGGCTACGCCGTTCTTAATTCTACACCCGTCACCCCGCACACGCTTTACTACACCGGCAGTACCACCAAGTCCTTCACTGCCGCCGGCATCTCCCTTCTCATCGACAATGCAAGCGCGACCTCGTCAGTGTACCCTGGACTCAGTTGGAAGACGCCGGTATCCCACGTTCTCCGCGATGACTTTGTTCTCAGCGATGAGTGGGCTACGGCTCACATCACTCTCGAGGACGCTATGAGCCATCGGACAGGCTACCCTTCCCATGATTTGGCACCGGCTGCTACGGCTCAGGAGACTACCCGCCTGTTAAGACATCTACCAATGGCTGCGGAACCACGCACGACCTTCTTGTACAACAACAAGATGTTCGGGGCCATGGGCCATCTTATTGAGGTCTTGACTGGATCATGGCTGGGCGATTTCTTCCGAGAGTACCTGTGGGAGCCTATGGGCATGAACGAGACGTTTTTCTCTCTAAGAGATGCCGAACAGAGTGGCTTGGTTCTCGCCAAGGAGTACTACTACAATCCAGATGACGGAAGCTACCTGCAACTACCGCACGAACCTTCTTCTGGCGAAGAAGGCGCAGGTTCCATTGTGTCAAACGTCCTCGACTATGCCAAGTACCTGCGCATCATGATGACCGAGTCCGCGCCGATCTCCAAGCCGGGACATCGAGAGGTGAAGACGCCGCGCACTTTGGTGGCTCCTGCGATGGAACCGTTTACTGGGCCTGTGAGCTATGCCTTGGGGTGGTACACCGCCATTTTGGGAGGCGAGCAGGTGTATTTCCACAGCGGTGGAGTCAACATGTTTATCTCGATGATGATGATGATTCCTTCGCAGCAGATAGGCGTGATCGTCTTCACCAACACGGATGTCAAGGCTCCGCAGGTGATTGCGACCCATATTCTCTCGGAACACTTGGGAATTCCTAAAGACAAAAGACCGGATATGAACAAACAGTAAGTTTCCTCCAAGGTCTTTGGCTATTCGGAGGCCTAATGAAAGAAAAGATACAAAGATAGGAAGAAAGCTGAGCTGGAACATTTGCAGGCTTGCGCAAGCGAGCTGTACCCTTCGCTTCCGATCCCGCCTTTGTTACCAACGTTGCCCATCCCAGATCACGTCGGGGAATTTCATAACACTGGGTTTGGCACTCTCGAGGTAGTCTTGGATTGTTCGAATTCCGTTGTCAAATGCGAGCTTCGTGTTCTTGGAATAGGAGGGGAGGCGTTTGCGCACCTTGCACCGATGATATACCTCGAGCCAATGTCTGGCAATCATTGGCTTGGTCGAGGATACATGGGAGGAAAGAAGGCACAGACAGTTGGCATCCCGATACTATGCGTACCCGTTGAGTTCAAAGTCAATATTCTTGGCAAGGTCTCGCAAATTGGTGTCGGGCTGAGGTTGGAGGGGGGCGATGCGCCGCTTGTCTGGTTTGACCGCGTCATTGTTCCGTTAGAGGCATGATCAATGCTTTGGTAGATCTCAGGACATGCTTCGCGGAAAGACATGTAATATTCTCATTTATTTGTCTGGATTCGCAAGCTATGGCGGACAGCATTTCGTGTCTTTCACCGAGTCCCGACACGACTGGGGAGACCTACACAAAAATAAAGCATTTGAATCCCTATCCAAATCGATGCAACTAGCCCTTCAACTATAAGGAGTCCCGATCGCGCCCGAAGAGCAAGCTCACGGTGCCACCATAACGGCATTCCCGGCACGGAGCATTCGGTGGTGGGGCCGATAGCAGGTCCCCACGACGCCAGTAAGGTACCTGATAATCTAGTGTGCGACAGAAATGAGTCTGCGACTTTCCTCCTACAAACTCCCAACTGAAGAATGGAATTGAGAGCTTTGAGTCACTCAGCAATCTGCGCATGATGCCGCCCTCCAGAAACACTTCTCACGAGGAAGATAAGAGCTCTTCAATGAGTGAACAAGAACGAAAGTAGGTGGAGTTAGCTGGTGAACGGCAGCACCCCATTACCCCCAACGAAAGTCGCTAACGAGGGGCTACATCAACCTAAGACGACTGCGCAACCGACTATCACAGCAGGCTTTCCGTCGCAGACAAGCGGAGCGTATGAGGGAGCTGAGTAGCAGAGTGAACACCGACCAGAAGTCTGATAATGAGCGGATCGAGGAGCTCCAGCGTGAGAACAGGCAGTTGCGGGCGCAACTCGTCGATGTTCAGGCAAGGATGTCGCGACTGCTTGCCAACATTCAAGGTTTGAGCGACTCTGTGTCAAAGACTTTGAACGACACAGGATCTCAGGACAGCAAAGTCTCTGAGGAGACAGAAGATCATACGTTACAGCCCTCAACATACGACAAGAAGCAGACTGATTACGAAGGGCCCCCTTTTCCAGGACCATCTATGCAATTGGAACCTTTCGACACATCATCACTGAACTTTGACCCGCCGCTTGCCCATCATCCTGGTCCAGGTAAGCGATTCAAGATCTTGAGATTCATCGATCAGCAACCGACGGTACTCCAGGTCAATCTGAGGATGCATTTCTATCGTCGGAACTCATCAATGTTACCGGAACCAGCCCCCTCTATACCCAGATCCCCAACATCTGGAGCTTCGAGTACCAAACCGGGATAGAGCCGTACCTGACTGCCATGGCTGCATCTCAGGAGTCGAGCATGGCACTGAGAAAAGACATGCCGATATCAAATTCGCCGTTCTCGGACCACATAAAGCTCCTCCAGCATCTTCTGAAGAGCAAGCTGGCGGCAAATGGCTTCAATCCGGATAGCCAACCGTCGATGCAAAGGTGAGTAGACCTTATGCCACAAGGACGCATGACTGACAACTATGTTCAGCATATATCAACCAGTTCTCATGGTCTTGTCCATGTTTAACAGCATGACGCGACCGGATGTCATGGCATGGTACGCCAAAACGCGCTTTTTCCACATCATCGAGCTTACGGCCTGGCAACTCTACCCCTCGCCCGCGACATTCCAAAAGCTACACCAGCGGTATCGGCCCACCGACATGCAACTGAAGCATCCGCACCCGCGCGTGATAGACTGGATACCGTTCCCCTCGATCCGGGACCGATTGATAGAGCTCCACGCCGCCAACCCTCTTATCGACCAGATATTTTGCGACGCCGTCTCGGGATACGTGGTGGAAGCGGTCATGTCCGAATTGATAAGCGACGCGCCTCAAATTACAGTTTACGTCCGGGTGACAGACCTTATCGCAGCCATGTCATTGTCATCCGGTGCCGGCGGCAACGATACCCCAGCCAGTCTCCCCGCCCTGGATATCACCACTCTCTTCTCGTCTCCGTCTCATGCTCGTGCAGCGTTCAAGCAGTTGAACATGGATAAAGGTGCATCGTACTACAAGATTGACCCGGCCTTTTACGCCAAATATCCAGAACTCTACGACCAGTCAAACGACCTTACAGCAAACGGCGTACCGCTCAAGCCAAGATCGCAAAAGGTTCTTACGTACCCGAAACCCCTCGACGACTCCATGGTTGAGACCTACCGGAGTTTCATAGACTTTTCCATGGATGCCACCAGCACCATCTCCTCAACGACGGCCTCGTGATGTGTGTCTTGGGCCACCTCTTCCCCCCGCATTGTACTGCACTGCACGGTCAACCAAACACTTCATGCTTTCCCGAGCACCGGAACCCCGGACTGTCAACCCGCACCTATCCGTTGTCACGCCGCATGTAACCGTCAAGTTTTGCAGGTAATCTCAAGGACCATGACATCCGTAGTTTCGGGAAAGTCTGATAACGCTTTTTTTTTGTTGAGCGCTGACCCACCGCGATCGCACTGACTATCGTTGACTAACGTTCCACTTACTAACGCTCGGATTTTGTCATCGTCTGAAAGCTTCGGTGGGCTTTGCGGTGGGGATGGGGACTTCTATATAGATTTACCGAGAAACTGGACCAGATTCTCATGATTCCATTGACTCGTTTGAATCTCGTTGTTGTTTTTCGTCTCATCGCCTATTTACAGCATAATATGCCTTCACAATTCCCCGCTCCCACGGCGACTCCTCGCTACAGCTTCTTGGACGATTACAGCGAAGGAGCTCACCCGGCCCTGCTCAAAGCCATTCTTGCCGGCAACACATCTCAAGAAGCCGGCTACGGAGGCGACTCATATTGCGACCTTGCCAGGCAACGGATACGTCGGCACTTGGGTCGCGATGATGTTGGAATCTTCTTCGTCCCCAGCGGGACATCAGCCAATGCCATATCCATCGCAGCGTGTCTAAGGCCCCACGAAGCTGCCATTGCCGCAAGCTCGGGGCACATTGTCACAAGAGAGACTGGTGCGGTGGAAGCCAGCGGGCACAAAATAATCAACGTCGCGCCAGTCAATGGCAAGTTGACAACCCAGAGCATTCAACGCGCGGTGGACGAGAACTGGCATTTCCCCCACATGGCAAAGCCGAGGTTGGTGTACATCTCTAATGCGACGGAGATTGGGACGATATACAAGAGAGACGAACTTGCTGCAATTAAGCAGGTTTGCGAACAAAACCAGCTGATACTCTTCCTCGACGGCGCACGCATCGGGACAGCAGTAGCATCAAAATCAAACGACATGACGCTGCACGATATCCTTGAGTTGACAGACATCTTCTGGATCGGAGGCACAAAGAATGGAGCGTTGCTTGGAGAAGCTGTGGTCGTCAAGGACGCTCGTCTAGCGACCGAGTTCGAGTTCTACGTCAAGCAGCATGGTTCGCTTCTGGCCAAGAGCAGAATCATGGGCGCGCAGTTTGCAGAGCTTTTCAGAGAGGATCTCTATTTCGACCTCGCGCGGTTAGCTAATTACTGCGCCGAGACGTTGTCCAGCGGTATTGCTGCAGCCGGGTTCTCGGTTCACGCTGTGACGGAGACGAATCAGGTGTTTGCGGTGCTGCCCATGAGCTTGATCAAGGTTTTGCAGGAGCACTTCATCTTTTATGTATGGGAGAAGCGAGGGGATGATGAGGCTGTGGTGAGATTGCTCACAACGTGGGCGACGGAAACGACAGAGGTTGAAAAGTTTGTCGGTTTGGTTCAGGGCTGGTCCGCTGGAGCTGCCGAAAGTCGAATTTAATGTTTCCAAAATAGAATAATACCAATTAGAACATGCATTACTTCAGCGTCCCAATGGCCTTTTCAACATCGGGAATCTCAGAGGCAGTCGTGGCGGGACCACCCCATGTAACCTGACCCTTCCCATCAACAGCCCAAGCTCCGGAAGTCTGCCATCTGTTGCCGCTCTCAGTGGGCCTATTGGCGATTCCCTCTTCACGAGAGAGCTTGAACACATCCGAAAGCGCCCAGGGACTCAGTACGTGCCAGAAACTCGATGCGCCGAGTCCCCATCCGGCGTACACGTCGCGCTCTTCGTTGGCGATGACTTGGACCGGGTTCTTATCGCCGGGTCCGCCGACCTCGGACAGCCATTTCTGTGTGTGCGACTCTGACGAGTGAGAGACGGCGATGAAGGCGATTTCGGGATGCTTCGATGCTGCTTCGCGGAGCGTGATGAAGGTCTTCTCGGCGACTGGTGGGTGAGGTATGTGAGTCTCACTGACGATCCTACGGAACGAAACCCTATCCATCGTTTGGGTCATTGACTAACATGGGCATCCACAGTGCCGCAGGAAAGCGATTACAGCGGGTTTACCACCATCCCTGGGCAGTGTGAGCTGGTCGGTGCTCGGGGCCGCGTCGCCTGCTTTTGGTGGGTTGGACAGGGTCAACGATGTTGGGGACATCCATGACGTGAGCTCCTGCATGAAAGACATGATGCAGCTGAGTTCTATAAGTACAATTGTTGCAACTGGGACGATGTTGTTGAGAGAATGTGTAACCCCCAAGAATGAAAGTCTGCAATGCCCATGTCGGTGTTGGACCTCGACGAGAACGACAGCGCTACTCCATCACGTCATGGTTTGTCATCACTTGACACCATTCAGACTAGGTAGGCCGATGCTTGCCCCGGCCGGAGTGGAGTAAGGGGATCTCGGCCGAGTCCGTGGCTGATTTGATGCGGAGCTGTCTTTTCAACATTCAAGTTCAACAGGTGGATATTGCCACGAAAATTGAGTGCGGAGAGTTCAGCTCTCTTAGACTGGCGGTTATTTGAGGAACTCTGTCGTAGAGTACAAAACCATCCGAACGCAGTGAAGATAGTGATCCGAGACTCGATCAATAAGGGAAACAACCAATTCCATTTCGGCGCCAACAACAAAAAAGATCCAGGAATGCTTCAGACATCGGCAATGTATGTCAAAAACTAAAGCAAGCTTGGCATGTAGATGCAAAGCAGTATCTATCGTCGCTTCCTCGGGGGGCCCTCATCGATCTCGAACACAGGCTTGCGCTTTCTGATGACCTCGAGTGCTCTCCTCGACATACCGGGCGGAGCGGCGTCTTGTTGGGCACTACATTCTCCTTCCTCTGATTGTTTCTCTTGAAGCGCACTACCAACTGTGTCCTTGGCGCTGTTCTGAGGCGGGCAAGCAGCCGGTAGAGTTGATTCATCTGAGGCAATCACCTCTTGCCATGTTCGGGCTATCTCCCTCATGATCTTTTCGTCCTTGCGACGTCTGAGATCGGCCTCCAATCTGCTCAATTGTCGCGTCTTTGAACTACTTGCCTTACTTTCCGGTTCCTTGCCTTTAGTGTTTCTGTTACAGCTGGTTCGAGATTCTTCCTCCTCGAGCTCCATAGCCAAGCTGGGCTGATTGACCTCGTCAAGTTGATTGATCATGTTTTGAAGAAAGGTTGCCGTCGGAGTGGGCTCGAATACTTCCTTCTTCTCGGACTGCTCCTCTCTTGCGACTTCTTTGGCCTTTTCTATGGTGTCAATGTGAGGAGCAATGTCGTCTTCTGCCGGTGGTTTCGGAGCCTTTCGAGGGCGATTGGCCCAGATAGGCATCTTATACCGGGCTAGAAAAGGGGTCAATAACATTTCACCCAAACTGATCGCAAGACTATACTCACGAGCAACCTTTTTCCTAGGATCCCAGTTGACAATGCGCCTACCATTCTCTTCGTTCTTTTCCTGTACTAGAACCGCACAGATGAGATTTTCGCAATGGGTGTCAAGGTACGTTCTTAACTCCTCATCCCCTACAATACCTCCGAGGAAGGGTTTGAACTTGGAGTAGATGGGATTGCATGATCCGTAAAGCATCGCAGCTGGGTTTTCACGAGTAAGAAACTTGTGAGGTAGAATTAGAGACAGAATAGTACGAAGTACACTCACCTGTTAAATCGTAGGCGAAGCCATCTGAAGCCACGAATGCGTCGTATTGGATATCACGGCCCTCGTCGGTATGTCCATCGAACATTCTGAGTTCCTCTGGCTCGATTTCCGGAAGACTGTAGCCTATTGCCTCGACTGTTGCTACAATGTAGCCCCTGAGACAAGCAAAGCGCATGAGGGGCCCGTCATCATACTCTTCTGCTTGCAGAGCCTCCGTGGCATCGAGTCCGAGGTAGGGAGAAAGAGAATCTGCAAGGTCGGGGAACTTTTCATGCTCCTCTGAGTCTTTGAGAGCTGCACCATCAGGAAGTCAGCATATTTTCAAAAGCCTGATTTCGTGACGATATCATTCAAGCTCACCTTCCACCGAGAAGACCTCCCTGCCGAATCTGATTTCATGTGGAAGCACAGGCCTGTCATTAACAAGACTTTCCATATCATCATCTGCATATTCTTGTCGCTGCTCGATCAAATTGCCAATGTACAACTCCTGCAAGCCTTTGAGAACCCGGTTGCGATTTGTTTGGTGGTACTTATTGAAGAGATCTGTAATGTCTCGTCCACCATTTTCGACCAAACACTGGAGCCCCCCTGGATGTGTTTCGGCATAGTCTGCCATATGATCAGTCATTACCCTCTTAGTTCTTTAGCCTTAGCCATCTTTTCACTTACCAGTGATGTTGTAAACCTTGTTCTCAATCGCAACATACATCCCTGTCTCTCTGAACTCGTGTCTTCTGAGTGATCGGGACGTGAAGGTTCTGACAGAATGCCTGTCGGCAACTACGTTTGGAGCTTTGGCTAGCATGCCAACCCGCCACGGTTTAAGAGACTTCTTGATCTCGTCAAGAGAGTACCCATCTTGCAGCAATTCAAGAGATGGATCTCCACTTGGGTTACTCGCCAAGAGCCTCCGTAGTGCCGGCTCTGATAAGCATTTCAAGTCTGTCCGATGTCAGCGGGTTATCAATATGCGTTGTGTCAGCAGTCATACGCACGAGTGATATCAAAAACGCTGTTGTGTATGCGGATCCATAACGGATCCCCACCGGTTCCATCACACTGAGCAATGTCATCTTCCCGCAAGATGCGAACCACTCGCCCCAAGGGCAAGGAAAGTATGTCAGCTTCGTAGAGACATTCCACTCCGTAACCAGTCAACTGAGTGCCGTAGAAAGTGGGCTTGGTGAACTCAGGCAGTTCGTCCTCATCAAGCTCGAGCGATCGACAGATGGCAGAACATTTGTGAACATCCAGGTGGTGCCCATTCTCGACCAGGATCAGCTCATCTCCGAGTACTTTCGCGTGATCGTACAGCTCAGCCACTGTGTAGTATGGTAGCTGATATCGTTGATGACTCTCACCCTGCTTTGAAGGTACAGTGACGATGCCAGCCTTCGCAAAAGCCGGCAAGTCTAGGGAGGGGTGTTTTGCCGGGTCTTCTCCGTGGAATATCTCGGCAGCTCTGTCTCCACTGTCCTTGTCTGTAGAGTTCCCAGGATTTGCACTTGAACGATGAAAGTCCAATAGTGAAAGTGCCCTACCATCGTAGGTTTGCCCAGGGTATTGAGGCACTTGAAAACGGAAGTCAAGCCACGAGGTGTAGTCGTTTGCAAAGTCGGCATCCAATTGGGCTCTTAAGCTTGAGCATTCGGCTTCAAAGGCGTCTCGCAAACCGGCTGGCTCTATGCAGAGTGACGTGTATGTATTGAATGCGGTCTCTGCTAGATCAATGTTACTGTGGCGATCACTGCGTGCCAAATATGGGTCGTTGGGATCTTGCATGTGTCGCCTTACTAACTTGAACGGCGGGTAAAACCATCTTTCCGCACATGCTGTTTTAATCTGTGCCTGGATGGCGTCTTTTGTTGACTGGCTGAGCGGGAGACTTTGGGAGATAGTCCAAGGGTTCGATAGTAGTCGTTTTGGCTGTTTCGCCGGTACGACTTCCTCTGCTCGTGCAGGTAGCGAGGCTAGCAAGAGAAACCCTATGGCCCGCCAGAACCACTGCGTCTTATTCTCATCATGAATGCGAGCTTGAAAGTTTCGTGGAAAAACTCCATATTCGAGTACGCCGTATTGGTTATAATCCACGTATAGCGGGTGAATCAATACATTAACTAGACAATCTGTGTCAAATTCGTCACGTTGGTTCCTGCGAGCTAGCGGAATCGTTAGACATGAAAGTCTGTGTCGAGGATCGACCTGGCTGTAAGGCGTCATCTGCCACATTGCGAATGTGTCTTTGAACCACGGGCGCATTCTCTGATACTTGAGCCGCCGGCTGTGCAAACTCCTCGCTGACATCCTGAGCTCATCAGCCTGGAAATTTTGAGGGACGAAGCCTTGCTTGAACCAAGCCGACTTTTCGATAGTCCAAACCCAAGGTTGGTAAAAGCCCCGATTTCCGTTCTCTCTCGTGACCTCGAGCATTTTGGGTGCCTTCAGGCTCGAATAACCATACTTGGAAACGATTTGAGTCCAGAAAGCCTCGGAAGAAAGGGAAGTATGCCAAAGTGATGGCAGAGGCCAACTCGTTTTGATGGTGGGGCTATCCAAAAGGAAGTCATAGGTAAGTGTAGGATCAGATACATGAGGGAACCTGTTGATGGATAGAATCAATGGCGCATAGTTTATGCTGAGCAAGTTTCTATCGCGTTTGGGGATAAGTCCAAACACAGTGCCTCCAAATGCATGTTGTTCAAATGACCACCCGAGCTCGCACTGGTGTTCCTGTGGGCCGAACTGGCAAAAATCATTCTTATCAGCAGATCTAGCGAGTAGAATATTCAGGTTACTTACGATCTCAAAACCGTGAAGCGGGACTCCTAATTTTTGTAGCAGGACCTCACTGCTCAAGTTCTGAAAACCGATCACATGCTATAACGAGGGTGTCCCAGCGTTAGTCGATTCTCATACAGGTGTCCTCAGGAAAAACACCCAGAATCGGTGTGGGGTTACCATGAGTTCGTGAACTAGCTGTACAAAGGAGCGCATCAGTAAGTAGCAAGTAAAAGACTCGCGAGGTCGCAGACTCACAGTGTCTGCAAGACACACCAGCGCCGCACTCTTGGAAGATTGAGTGGCGTTTGCATCCAGAAGCGTCTTTATCCCAGAAATGTTGACGAAGACCGTGATTGGCCCTTCCGATAAATCGTATGGTGCCGTCAATCCCTTGATGATTCCGTCCGGCTGATATGAGTTCAAGGTTGTTTTGTCGTTGAAAGTCCAAAATATTCTGTTTAAAAGGGAAGGCGAGGACAGCAGCTTGATCAGTTCTTTCGCAGGTTTGCGAATGATGGGAGATGATTTCATTCTCCAGATTTTGCCGACCTTACTCGAACCTGACAGAAGTGTCGTTTCATGGCTCTCAAGGTTTTCCGGGATGAGCAGAGATTGTAGCCTGGAATGAAACGCGCAATGTTAGCTCTGTCTTGAATCACACCCTACCTTGCTCTTGTCTACAGTATGATGTCAAGTCTTTTTGGAATGTGTAATTACCAGTCTCCTTCGAGGGATTTCCGCACGATGTTATCAGCAATTTGTATCGCCTTTTTAAGAACGCCCCAGATGATCGGATCGTGCGCGCTCCAGAGACGCGATCCAGACCAATTGGTGGACGAACTAGGAGGCGCAATGAAGTCAATCATCCAACGGTCCCTTGACCAAACAGGCAGCCAAGACGACTCGTCGACTTGTATTTCGTTGCTATTCATTGCTTGCCTCTCGCCCGTTGCAGTATAGGCTTCCGTCTTTGCCAATACCGCAGCTTCCCAGGTTCGCAACCCCGAGAGACTTGAAAGTTGCTGTCGCTCCGAGAGGAGAAGATCGTCCAGCTCGGGAGGAGACGGTTGTGGAATTATTTCAGAGTGTGGTTCGATGATCTCGAGTGTCTGCGGGTCAAGAGATGGGAAGATTGGGTCCATCCATGATAGGCCATTCTGTCGCAGCGGGCGTGTCTCGCCAACGCCATAATACCTTTCCCAGCAACTTTCTGAAGAGTCAGGCATTCTGGGGATGTTCAGTCTCTGACAGAATGAGTGATGCCGGAGACCAGTCTGCGTCTGAGTTCAAGACAAATTCGAGTATTGAGCAGGTAGTGGAAAAGTAAGTCGAGCGGTTGAGTGAGAGCCTTGCAACTCAGAATAGAGATCAAGTCTTTTGGTAGATCTGATTGGAATGGAAAGACGAGCGAGGCACATAAACGCCTCTCAAATGACTGAAAACAGTCGAGCGGTACAATTTTGGATCACGTTCAGCATTGTAACTGAAAACAGAGGAGCAAAAACCCAAGGATTCATGAAACCTTGGTCTTGGGCGCAAAGAACTGTTCAATGAACCTTTCGGCAAGGGGTCAACGTGGGCTTCCTGTTCCTTTGTGTCCCCGCCGATGGGATGCGTGGCCGGGGTCCTGGTCCCTTTCCGGATTCAGCGACATGGCACTGCGAATTTCTGCTATGTTTCCAGAACAATGAATTGCAAATGCTTCGAATCATGGGCATAGTAGGTAGCCGAAACTGACTTGCGAGACGCACAAAGCCCAGAGTGGAAGAGGAACTATCTGCTGAGACCACGGGTCTGGTAGGGCCAAGGTCTGGTACGCAACCTCATGTAAGATCTTGAACGTGAAACAGCTTTTTATTAGTACTCTTAGAACATCCCAGCAATGCCAATGCCAGGCGATGGTCGTTGAAGAGGTGTTGGAATTCGGCACCGTATTCTGATGTGGCAGATTTTGACATTTCTCGCGAAGGCGGGGGACATTACTGTTCGGCTTTCATGCGGGCAAAAGTGTTTGGAAGATGAACAACCTTAAGTTCGAACACATAGGTGCGTCATGAAATCTCGAATACACGCTCAACAACCTTCTACCGAGTCATCATTCAGATCAGTTCTGTTCCCTCATCAATCCGGCCTCAATCTTCCACACGCGTCCTTGCCATCGTCACCGATACATGTACAAGTCCTTCCACTCCCATTCTTGCCTCGGCTTCTCTGTTCCCCTTGAACTTGTTCTGCTTGAGTCTTCAATCCCAGACGAGGGACCACCAGCAGAGCCACGAGATTCTTTGACTACCTTCTTGTACGGCCGTACCGGAGTCGGCGAGCTCTTCCGTTTCACGCCTGCAGCTACTTGTTCTGGCAGTGCAAAATGGCTTGTAGTAGCAGCCTTGATGCTCTTTTCCTGTACCTTAAGCTGCCCATTATGCTTGCGTTTCGTGCCGGCCACGCTCTGGATTGGTTGGACAATCTGGTCTGAAGCACGATTCGCATTGCCCTTTTCAGCAGCTTGAACAAATGACATAGCAGGTGTGACTTTCGAAGTTTCATCACCTTCCAAGTCAGGCACATCTTCGGAGATCGGCCTGAAGGACCTTTTCCAATCGAAATCGGCATCTTGATTCGGACCATGCTGTGCTATAATTCGATATTGGAAGTCTGACCACAGCCTTCGCTTCAGTTCTTGGTCTTGTGATGAGTTGGAGAGCGTTGTTCCGGCACGAGGTTTCAAAAGCTCATTGTACCCGTCAGGTTTTCCGTATCTGAGGTATGCTGGTGGAGTTTAGTCACTCGAGCAGACAATTAGTGCCGACGGCAATACTCACAAGTCAAGTTGTATATGTACTTGCTGTCAGAAACGTAGGATTCACGGAAGCCCCAGGGCTCAACTTTGCCGTCCATGCGCGCCAACATTTGATCGTCCATGAAAGGCAGTGTGTCTATTGGCGCGACAACCTTGGCGACAACAAGCCATTTTGTATCAAACAGTCTGCAAAGTATTTTTGGCGGGCTTGCTGTGTCCATCTGGGCCGTCACATTCTTTCCCCAGTATTCTTCAAGTTTTTCGGATGCCAGGAGACCCCTTAACCCGTCTAAGGCGGTACCTGACAGCCTTGAAAGATCCGCTAAGCGACTACTGTCAGTAGGAACTTCATCTTTAGTCCGGAAACGTTTTCTATGCTTACCCTTTCGGCTGAAGACTTGATTTCGAATTACAATTTGATCCGGAGATATGACGCCTGGGCTTTGCTCAGAGACGATCTTACCAACTTGCAGCCTTTCGAAATAGACATGTGTAGTGACACCAAGGAAACCCGTCGGGACTCGATGGTACTGCTTGAATTCACGTGTACAGTCTTTCCCGGCGACGCTCTGCAGAATCTCCATACCACCAGGATGAAATTTCATGAAGTCTGTTTGATCAGCATTGAGTACTCGACCTGAGTCTTTGAACCTGTACCGAACTTACCTGTAAGATCTATTACCGAATGCCCTTTGAAGATGGTGTAGATCCCTGTCTCTGGGTAAACGTGCCACTTGACTTCGTTCAATGTGAAATGGCGTAATCGGTAAACGCTGTACCTGTCAAGCTCTCGCGTCCTGATCCCAATCTGATAAGGCCGAAGGAAGTTGACGATAACATCAGGATTATATCCTAAACTGACTGCCTTGAGGAGAGGATTTTCCTGTCGTTTTTGCTTAATAATCACCAGTAAAGGTTGCATGTGTTCTGCCAGTTGGAAGTCTGAAAGATCAGCGTACGAGCCTATGAGCAAGTCTCGAGAATTCCAAGCCAAGAATAAACTTACTTGTCAGATCACACGTCAGATCAAAAACGTGGTTACCCAAGGCTACACATGACAAGCGGTCTCTGTCGTAAGCCAGTCTGATATCTTCCGTGCGCATGAGCTGCATCACTTGTCCAATGGGCCCATTTTTCAAACACAATTCACGGACCTTCTCGTTCAGGTCTCCTGTGCGAAGCACTCTATTCAAGACAGGACTGGAGGAATCTGGCCTCATTGTCAGTTTCTCTCGAGTTGCAGCATTCCACCCATATTCCGACGACATTATCCCACTGAGGTCGTAGATTAAATGCCTGTCATCACCGTCGGCTTTGTGGACAAACCACTTGACTCCGCTACCGACGCGTTGATGATCACCAATTTCGCCTACATGGTAGTGGCGAAGCGGCGGGGTGATCTCAGCAGATTTGCCTCGCGACGGGACCGGCACTTGAGCGATCACCGGTCTCGCGACAGCCCAGGATGGAAGATCGGCGTCGTCAAGGTCAATCCTCTCCGAGGGAAGTCCTTGAACCTGCGATGCTCCGATAGGGTAATGCGTCTCTTGAGTGACGTGGGTGGGCAAGTCTCGGTAATTGTAAGTTAACCACCCATGGTCATAGGGGGATTGATCCATCATTCTCCTTATATCACGGCGGTCATACTCGAAACCTTTAGCCACCTCAGGTGACACATTTCCGAGAACTTTCCATCGTAAAAACGACAGTTTGGCGTTTTCCATGCACAGCTCTTTGTTGTGGCTTGGGATATCGGAGTTGTGTAGGTACGTTTCCGTCGCTACTGATGTTCTTTTTCCCTGATTAGTAGCAAGGTCAATGACCTCCTGGCCTCCAGCAGCTTTGGGTATGCTCAGTCTTTCGGGATGCAGTGGCCTTGAGGTCGGACGACTGGATGGCGTAGGCTTCTTCCTGACGGGCAGCGTTGCCAACCACAGATATGCGTAGGCGTGGTAGAGGAACCTCGATGTCGTTTTGTGTCGAATCTTGAATTTGGCGACATCGAGACTATAGTTATATGGCCACAAGACGCTCTTGAGCTGGTGCCGAATATCGGATTCCTGTGTGTCGTGATGGGATTTAGACGAAGACCCAATGTCGGCCAATTTGCATCGCAGTTGAGTCTCGGCATATATCGTAGCATGCCATTTGGTGTATTCTTCCTTGTACCATGGCCTCAGCCTTCGGAGCTCCAATCGTCTAAGTCTCAAGCGCTGCGCAATCATTCTCATACTATGATCAAGGCGACCGTATTCCGAATAAGGGGGGTCAAGAATCTTGGCTCGCGAGGTTCGTGCGGCGTCTTGATAATGGCTCTCCCAAACCCGTTCAGAAACACAGACCCCCTTGTATCTCAGTGCCTTGTATCCGTATTTTGGCACATGCGTCTCCCAGAAGTCAGAAGATGTCATCGCGCAAGGGACGATGGCAGGTATGCCGGGCCGATGTTCCCGAAATGCTTCCGTGAGAGGCCCATTGTCGTAGGTATCCATGCGACCGGCGCTTGACACGCAGAAAGCTGGCCAAGGGGCACGTATGCCGAAGAGGGCATGACCAGCCCTTTGGGGACCGCTGGAGACGTCCTTCAGGGAAAATCCAAAGAATGACATTTCCCAAGAAATGCCCGCCTCTGCATACTTCTCTTCGTCCCAAAACTTTACTCGCGACCACATAAGCAAGAGTTTGCGCCACAGAGGTGTTAAATTTTACTTACAGCTTCGGTCGCCATGAGCGGTTCCTCGGGATGCTTTTCTTGATACGATCTGTGCATGTGGCCAGATATACCATGCTATATTTTCCATGTTTAGTGAAGTTATCTCGGCAGAAGAAGATCTTGGCATAATACCATTAATTCATGCAGTATCTGGCCAAAACAGAAACTAGTCAATACCTATTAACATCAGAGGAAGGTTGGAATGGAGATCTAACTCACAGTCTTGGTCACCAGAAACGTTGCCTGGCGGCCTTCAGGGTCCTGGAACATCATGTTTTGGAATATCGGCTGGAGATACTCGATACCAACACGCATCCACTTGAGCAGCCTCCCGTTCTTGTCAATGAGCTTTGATGTCAATCCAATAGCTGAAGGCGATTCCTCTCTAAGATAGAATCCCCAAAAGAAAGTGTCGGCGATGTCGTCAAGAACCTTTCGAGCTTCTGTTGGACTAAGACGGGATTCGGGGCTGACCGGCTTGACGCGGACGATGGTACCCTTCCGAGTGGCCTGATGTTTTGACTCTACCGTTACATCCCGTCGAACTTCACGGGAATCCTCCTTTAGAAAACTTGCCAGCCTAGCGGATATCAAGCGTCAGTGAAATGCAGATGTGCTACAAGTCTTTCTCCAACCGGAGGAGAAAGGCCTCTGATTCTGGTCGTACGTGCAAAGTGGGAACACACCATTCATGACTGACTGCTTCTTTCAGAATTCTATTTGCAAGCTCGATGACTCTGCTTATTTTGGCCCAGGTTGCGTCGTCGTCGATATCGATCGATAGCCCGTTGGGGTCGGGGTGCTTGTAGCTCGACCATCTCTCCCTTCGGAAGATCTTGAACCACTTCGTTTCGTCCACCTCGACAAAGTCACTGGTTGCCCAAGATACGTACGGGTACAGTGTCAAACCATCCATAAAGTTTGACAGTTTCTCGCGTGGATCGGCATCAACGAATGGATCGCTTTCGTCTTCGATGGCACCTGTCACGTCCGATACGCGGTAGGTTGGTCCATATGCGTCGATGTCTTGCAGGGCCCAGTATTCTGGCATACGCAGCCCCCCAAGGGCTCTCATTTGAAAAGTCTCGCTGAGGAAAAGCCAGTCGATTGCTACGGATGGCGGTTTCGGTACTGGGTTTTTGTCATCCTCGAAGGCTTCCCTAGTTGTATCCCAGTTGGGATACCGTATCGCCCAGAGGCTCGATTCGGAGCTAACGCCAGCCATTGTGTCGTCCCTGGTGAGGAAATGAGGAAACGAGAAACAAGAAAGAGTAAGCCCGGAAAAGATTGGGGCCCGTCAAGCTCTTGACATGTTGAGTGATGTGCATTTATTCGAGTTGGTTTAAACCTGGACCTCGGTATTTCAGTTTTCGGAACATCGTTCCAGAATGGAAACAACATCTTGTCAAGACTCCTCGGACGAGGGCAGGAAGACATGTGAGTCAATCGAGGATAATGCGTCAAGGCTTGCCTCATCAATGGTCCCTTGAGTAATGTTTGTGCAAGCGGCACCTCAGCGACGTCCCTTTCAAACCGCTAAGCAAGGGGGCCTCTATAAAAAATGGACAGATTCGTTCTCCATGGACAATGCCTTTGGGAGCAGCATCATGGTCATGTGTAACCCTCCAAGGAAAGGGACTGAAAATGAATCATCGGCTTTACATTAGAACATCCTGTTTGTTCAATCTGACTGTGTGACTCAAACATCCCGATTGAGTGGATGCATCATGCCCCGGGACAATGCTTGAGAATCAAATGAGTCTGCAGTCCGATTATTGCAGAGACATCTGTCCAGTCGGCTGAGACCAACATGTGAGGTTCGTCTGGCGGAAGGACTGGGACACGTGAGCTTGGCGTTGTGGAGGATGGTATTCTTGAGGCAGAATGTCCCGCAATGAAATTGTAAAATGGGGTAAAGTCCGAACAACTGGCAACCTTGGGTCAGCAGCCATTGTAGCAGTGCCCAAGGTAGGTTGAGAAGCAACTTCGTATTGTGTCTACCACGCCGTGGTGCGGTTTGCCGTGCACGTTTGTTTCCAAGACTTGGAATCAACCTCAATGTGTTCAGCGTGCCAATCAGACCAGCTGTATGCCCGGGTCCGCAACTGAGCGGAATCGAATTTCTGAACAGATTGAATGAGAATTACCATTAGCCCTGTTCACGACGTTGCAACGTCTATTCCGGCGAGGCTTGGTTTGCTCACACGAGACGAGGCTCATGATCATCGCTCCATCAGTTGAACATTTAAGAACTCGACACTCCACGGATAGTTGTAGTCCAGGTGTCATCTTCCCTTGACTGCAGTCTTCTCTCTCAAGAACACAAATTTGGCAAACTCAGACTCTATTCTTCTTCTTCAGGATGCGCGTCGCTCACCTCATCAGGTTCGCGGCGGCGATGTCCCTCACCTTCACTGCTACAGCAGGCATCGCAATCAGGCGCGCAAATACGACGCAACTGCAAGTCCCTCCAACCGACAACTCCCCTCAGGATTTCGAATCACTCCGGGGCGGAGCCTCAGCCACCTGTCACTCGTTTACGATCAACCCGCGTTACTTCACCTTGTTGTACGCAACGTGCCGTGATCACCTGGGCTTTGAGAAGATAGGCCATCTCAACTTGAACCTCTGCCTCGCAAATTCTTGTGGCAACCTTGAGGGTCGCGCAAGGTAAGCCACTGACTGGCAGCGAACCCACATGCTATAAAGTCGCAAGACATTGTGTTCTCTCCAAGCTAATGATGCCGATTTTCGATAACCAGAGGACGATACGCGGAGAGCTGCTCGGCAAGGACCTGTTCGATTGACGGGCTCACGTTGAAATGCAAATGCGAAAATTGCTATGGTAGATGGAGCTGGACTTCTATCAATCTGAGTAGGTGATTTTCAAGACTTGACAGAAAGTGTTCGCTGACTCAATGCTTCTTAGATGATATTGTTGGAAACGACAATGGAAGTCTCGTTTGCCACGGCCTGATGGGGCTAGGTTAAGATTCCGCATTCTGCGGCGAGGTGGGGCCGCAATGTCGGCCCGGAGTTGAGTTGTTAACATCCGGGTGCTGCAGATGGGATCTTGGAAGACACGGGCAGCACGTAGACTCTTCTCTGCACGTCATGAAACGGTCAAGGCATATATACGGAGGTCATCAGGATCTATGCAGGCCACCGAGTCTACACTTAGTTCAGCAGACAGTCATGTTACCTTGTTCTGGCTTATCCCTCAGCCTCAATCCCAAAAGGCATGATATGACATTTAACGGCATCACCGGGGAGAAGCCTATCATATGTAGTGACTCTCTCCTCGCAGCAAAACCTAATGCGACGTGGGTGCTTTACCTAGTTACGGTGAGCATGTGCAATGCTCTATGAGCCTAGCCAGTCATCACGTAATCTAGACCTGAATTAGACGTTAGACGTGCGGAAGTCTTCCATCCTCTTCAGTATTTATCTGTATAGCATCGATCGGTGGCCATGTTGCGAAGGTAGTCAAGGCCTCAGATGGCCAGACTTTTGGTATGCAACCGCTGGGTAGAATATTTTCCAGTTGTCGGGGGCTACGAGACTCCAAAAGTAGACGCAAGCTCTGTAATATGCTGTAGGAGAAACAAGGCAGTCAAGGCAATGACGGGCCCGCTGACAGGTGGGCCATCGGTCGTCTCGACGGCGATATTGTGACAGGAGGCGGTTATCGAGATGTAGAACAGGGTCGGTATCAGGTTTCGGAGCTGCGAACGCAAAGTATGAGTAAGGTTATTGACGTCTTGCCGTTTTGGTAGTAGAAGGTTACTGACTCTCGTGATACCACGCTATCGCGTGGCCGGAACAACGTATTGGCAGTAGTAGGTAAGCAGTGTATCAATAAGGGCGGGAGTGCCGTACTGTCGCCAGAGCTGTTTCCCAGCGATTGAGGGATGTCATCACTGAGTTGGGCCAGGACGGGTCGGGCCTAACCATCTCGGAAGATACGATGAAAGCAAAAAAGGGAGACGCAAGAAGGGACACGAGAGTTCAGAAGTGTGATGTCTTTGGATTGCACCGCGACATCAGACGCCAAACTTTGTCGGCCATGCCGCGTGGATAGAGGGCAGTTCGCGACATCAACGTCACTGTAGGACCTGGATTGGTCTCTGAGGGGGAGCCAATCGGGGATTGGTATATCGGTGATAACACCCGAATAAAAGCCGAGGGGAATAGCGAGTCGGCAAAAATTGGTGTCTAATGTCACTTTTGGCCTTAGGCACAAGGCACCTGGTGAGCAACGTACCTACCTTACGGCAGGGACAGGTTTAGAAAAAAGTTTTTGGCAGGAGCAGGGTAAACATTGAAGCATGTGAAAAGCCATCAAACCATTCGAGGCTTTCAACGCCCAATGTTCGGGTCTCTGTTGTTTGAAGTGAAAGATACCTCGCAAAACTGACGACCGTATATATCTGCCACCACGAGCAAAAGCCAGGCCATCAGGCGGTCAAGAAAGCGGGAGGGCGTGCGACCCCTGCAGTGGTTTTGGTGGTCGTTGCCCGGGCTAAGGAGATGACGGGCTTGGTGAAGGATCGAGAGAAAATTCTACGGGGCCCCACGATTTTGTGGAGTGGTTAGGGAGCGCAACGCCGCAATCGCAATCAACGGCTTATCACCCCGCCATCAATCGTGATGAGCTGGTGGCCTGAACGTATCGATAAGAACAGATAACAGAAGCTATGAAGCTCAATATCAACGACATCGAAGTGGAGGGGGAGGACGGCTGACGGCTGATCTGGTTGTTTGCGCCTCTCCTGTGGAAAAACCACCTTTGAAATTGAAGAGTTGTAGGTTCTTTCCAATGGTACCGTTTTCTGATGCTAGAAGAGCGGTGACGAAATGTTTGGGTACCATAGCATTGAATCATAGGCAACTCCAAGTATCTGCAAGCTAAGGGCACATTATTGACGACGTTCACCGTCGAATGCGGGAGGACAGGAGTGCAGATTACCGATCCGTCCAGCCTCGGAGGTCTGGACCTCCTGCATGCTTCGCAGCCTGGTCCAGACAGCCAGTCAGTCTCAGCACTGTCTAATTGTAGCGACCTCAGCCTTCCAAGGACTTCTTTCCGCCAATCCGCTCTCTCTCTCTCTGGGAGGCGTTGGGGGCAGACAAAGACCCAGATGGACTCGGACCTACTGCGTAGTGGCCGGCGCGTCTCATTGAATCAAGGTCGAATCGGGCAGGCCGTGGCAAAAAGGGACGATCCGAGTGGCCCGGAATGCCAGCGAAGCCAGACCCCGGCTTCCATGCCAAAGAGAAGAGTGGAAAGACGAGGAAGAATACCTAGAAGGAAACAAAAGGGGATGTCGGATGAAACTGGGGATGGGATGACCACCCCTCTGCTAAGACTTCGGCGTGTTTTGTAACAAGAGAATTTTTTTTACCGGATAATCAGGGACGGTCCCATGGGAAAGTCAATCTCCTTCCTTCTTGCCCTGATCTGGTTGTCAGAAATCTACGGAAAGGTACGTAGCGGGGTACTTCGCATGTGCTTCCATGCGCAGGAGTAGGTAGCAGTTCGGACATTGCGCCTGCCTCGTCAAGGCAAAAGGGAATTGGGGTGGCGAAGTCGAGGCGCGGAAAACTAGGTATTACGCGACATCCAGACTTTGGAGTGCTTGCCTATTTGCCTACTTACCTACGTATCTGTAAAGATACACGTGTATGTATTGCAACTGACATCTCACGCTGCATATGTACTCCGTACACTCTGGCGGTCTTTGGATGGGATGTGATGTTCATCCCCGGCCGAGACGACTCAGACGGCCTGGAAACGACAGGGAATGGGGGGTTAGACATGGACGATGCCCGTCTCACCCCCCTTTCCTCCTTCGTCCTCTTCGATTCTCACCCTCTTCCCCATACTACGCTAAGCGCACGGGATAAGGCAGGGCTTATCGTGAACTGAGCCACGCAGCCAGCATTCACTTGAGAGACGGGAGGTGAGATTGCTGACTAGAGGTGCGACTTGAAGGTCGTTTAGCAGCGACGTGGATGTATCCGCCACTGTGGGGCAAGTTTGGGTGTCTGTACCTTATAGAAGACACTTCTTCCATTGATATCAAATCTGTATCCATAGCGAATGGTAACATATGGATGTAGACACGTGGAAGGAAAGGCTTCCAAGCTGGAAGACAACAGTGCCGATATGGCCCGAGGTTTGACGATATGAGATTGCTGTGACCAAGGCGGAAAGGAAATTGA